AAACTATCACTTAAACAATGTGATTAAGAGTATTGTATTAGAGAAGGACCGTATTGCATTGTAGTTGTAACTGGATAGGTTCTCCAACCAATTCTGCTTAGCTTGGGTAACCATGATATGCTGCTAGGCGTCACTCATGGTTTGTGGAAGCCCTAATGGTTAGCAAACACTAATCAACAAAAAAAAAAGGGAGAATTGAAATGTGGTTTCAATTCACAATCGATCGTTAAGAGTAACATCGCCCACTGCCTCGCTAATTGGAACCTAATGGATCGTACACCGAGTAAGGATGTATGTGAAGAAATTATATGAAATGGATAAGCAATTAAATGGTTTAATTGAAGAATGGTAAAGATTAATTAATTAGTTAATTAATTATACGAAAGGTTCGTATTGGGCTTATATGTTGGTTTTGGGTTACGGGACCCAAAAGCGTTTTGGTCCAAAAGGCCCATTATGTTTAAGTTGTATGACAACTAAAACAAAATGGGCAAATTAGCCCAATAACAAAGAATGGCCGGCCATTTAGGGTGAATGGGCAAGTTTGCTTAATTGCAAGTTTGCCACTCACCAAAGAAATGAAGTATAAAAGGAATTTTATAGCTTTATTTTTTATTAAGGGGTTTTCTAGTTGAAATTGGGGGAAACGTTTACTCCATTTTCTTCCAAGAGGCCAGCCACTAAAGGAAGGGACATCTAGCAATCTCTTCTTCTTTAAGTCATCCATATCATCTTCACAAAATACATCCTTGGTGTAGAGACTTAGAGACATCAAGCTTTTGGTGTTTTGGAGAACAAATCCTTATTTCCTCAAATCTTCAAAGGAGCACTAAAGGGAGGAAAACACAAGGAGGATTCAAGGAGCTTGGAGGTGACTTGAAGGCCCTCCACTTGGGTGAATCCCTTGTGTAAACAAGGATGAGCTTCAAGGGTAAAGAAACTCTAAATCTTTACTTCTCTTTAATGTTGTTAAAGAGTTTATTTTGGTTCACCATATACTAGGCTTTGAAAGTCATGGGTTTTATGAATTGTTTTTGGATGCATGACTACTTTAAAGTGTTAATTGCTAGCATATGTATTCAAATGTTCATACTTGTTCTTAGCTAGGACACAATATTTCCTTCAGATGTGATGTATTGAGAGCTCATAAACCTGCACCCTGGTGTTAGTGCTCCCGCCTAGAGTTAGGGCACAATCCTTCACATGATGTTCACCTCCCGCACCATATGCTCACCTTGGATTCAAGTTAGGTGCACATGCTTGTCGTACAAACCACTTTAGGTGGTTCCGACTCGTAGGTGACCCGCGATTATTCGCACAATCTTCACGTGATCGTAGCACTAGAGAATATTTATTTTACACCTAGTCTTGTCGTACAGACCACTTTAGGTGGTTCCAACTCGTGTGCATGATTTGATTTGATATGATTGAGATTGGTTATGAGCTATATACTCAGCCGTATAGGTCAAGTTAGGTAGATCCGGCTGTTATGATATCTGGCATTGATATATCTTAACTGGGTTACTTATGACATTTCATTGAGATACTTTGGCACGATATATTTCTATGGATTTCATCTTGAGCATGAATTCTGATATAGCATATATTATATTTTTCTAGGAAAATTATACAGGTTTTACGGCGAGGGGTTATAACTTTTGAGAAATGAAATGATTTTGAAAAGCTTTGTTTTTGCCCATTCACACTTTCTGTTTTGCGCCCTTCCAGGTTTTAGGTAGAAGCTTTGCTGGATCACGAGGATTTCGACGAAGGTTCTGACAGAACATCACAATGTAGGATCACCCTTGGGTGTTGTATAATTAGTATTTGTCCTGCTTGACTGCACTTAGGCTATTTATGCTCTGATTGTGTATTTCGCACTTAATCTTGCACTTACACCTTATCTTATCTAGTACTCTAGTTGATTTGTTTTTTGTTTATTCATAATTCCTTATATCTTTATTGCTTCCGCACTGTGCACATGGTTACGTCACCCTCACGTGACGGCCAGCATACCCTGATTTAGGTCAGAGTGTGTCATTACCCAATTTCCAAATCATACTACTAAATTTTTAGTTTTAAGTAGTTAATTAGGATTGTTTTTACATAAATTATTTAAATAATCCTTGTGGAGAATGACCTTGCATTAGCATTTATACTACAACATTCTTGTACTCTTGCAAGTATTTTGTGTGATTTTAACCTTCTTTTCGTAGGTACTAAAAATCATAAACGACGACGTAGGGATCATAAACACGTCTGATTAACTAGGAGAGCAACATACTTCTAATTTAAGGGTGGTGCTATCTGTATACTATCCTTTTTTTTTCTGAACAAACACTAGTATCTACACTAAGGGAATGAGGTGGACATAGCTTTACAATGAGTTAGCAATAATATGGTTCAAATTCGCCTTTTGATGAGAGTCCGAGAGTCGAACCTAACATATTTCACTTGCAAGTGAATAGGAATACCACTAGACCGTAGTATTAAGTTGCATCTGTATACAATCTTTTAGCTTCCACATATACCATCAATTTTGAGTATCAAAATTTTTAAATATTTTGTCATCAAATTGAATGAATTGAAAAATTATAAAAATTAAAAATAAATTAAAGGGAGTTGTCTTTATGTGAAAAAAAGCACTACCCTTAATTTTTTAGAAAAATTATTGAAAAGAGCTTGGAAACTGAGCTCACTAATCAATGAATCTGGACCGTTGAAATTTGATCAAATGGCTGCAATTATTATAACTTTTAGAGGGGCTCCTGTTTGTAGCCGTTGGATCAAATTTCAACGATCCAAATTCATTGATTAGTGGGCTCAGTTTATTGGGATTTGGTTTCGGGCAAAGGAACTAGATCCCCTCCGGATCAAAGAAAAATTGAGCCTACTAATCAATGAATCCAGACCGTTGAAATTTGATCCAACGGCTACAATTATTATAACTTTTAGAGGGGCCCCCTGTTTGTAGCTGTTGGATCAAATTTCAACGTCCCAAATTCATTGATTAATGGGCTTAGTTTATTGGGATCCAGTTCCTTGGGCAAAATAGAAGTCTGCCATCGAACGTGTGGAATACATTTGTGTTTCCAAGTCGACAACTTGAAGGTAATTTCATAAAAATAATAAACAACTTGGAAGTAACTCCAAAGTTATTGAGGACTTGTTTTTGAAATTGAACCAAAATAACCTACATTATTTTTGAAACTGAACAAAAATAATTCACATTATTTCTGAAACTACAGCAAAATGATACACTATTTCTAAAATTGAACAAAAATAGCCCGCACTATTTCTTAAATTACAGCAACATAAAGCACACTATTTTTGAAAATGAATCAAAATAACCCACACCTATTTTTGGAAGTGAACCAAATAAACATTATTTCTGAAACTACAGCAAAATAACCCACATTATTTCTGAAACTGAACCAAAATAACCACACTATTTCTGGAACTACAATAAAATAACACACATAATTTTTTAAATTGAACCACAATAACCCATACTATTTCTGGAACTACAGCAAAATAAACCATATTATTTCTAGAACTATAGCAAAATAACCACACTATTTCATAAACTGAACTAAAATAATCCACACTATTTGTGGAAGTGAACAAAATAAACACTATTTCTAAAAATACAACAAAATAAGAACGATGTTGAATGACAAACACCCAAAACAAATCCAAACAAAAAATCCTTTTCTTTCCCAAAACTAGAAACAAAAAGAAAATTAATTACCAAATAACTGTTAATGTGCCAAATGTAGAGAGAAAGAGAGATTAATTGGGAAAATTCTATTTCCAGAAAATTGTTGCAAAAATATATATAATTTGAGAATTTAATTAATTAAAAAAGTTGGGAGGAGTTGGAGAGAATTAGAAGCTTCCAGGTGTTGCCACACAAAAAGAAATGGCCTAATCAGATAAACGGTCCCGTGGTGATAAGGTAATCGGAAAGTAGCCCCCGTGGTAAAAAAAATTAAGATTTAAACCCTCGTGGTGTAGTCTGTTAGCAAATTTAGTCCAAAATTGATTTTTCCATTAAATATCTGTTATATGCAAGGGTAAAAATGTACATTTTACCCTACTGCATTGGCACCCATGTCTTTGAGCTTCTTCATGGTCAGATTCACCAACTGGAACTTACTCAGACCTTACCTCTGGAAAATCCTAACAAACTACCCCTATTCCTAGTGATGCTAACCACCTGCTTAACCCGCCAGCTTTATGAAGCTTCCTCTCAAGATTCATAGCTCTCAGCTTTTGATTCCGTAGCATTCTCTGATTAAGGAAAATACTCGGGCCATGTCGTAATTTTCTTGGCTGAATGATGGCTTTTGAGGTTTTAAATACTCCTGGTGTTCTATGAGACTATGAAGAAGAAGACACACATCAATGTACATTTTTACCCTTGCATATAACAGACTTTTAATGAAAAAATTACTTTTGGACTAAATTTGCTAACGGACTACACCACGAAGGTTTAAATCCTAATTTTTTTACCATTGGGACTACTTTTCGATTACCTTATCACTACAGAACCGTTTATCCGATTAGGCCAAAAGAAATAAACAGAAAAGAGACCCTTGTGCAATAAAAACCCAGATCAAATTCCAAAACCTCCTCCCACCACTCCACCTCCATCTCCGTGCGTAAAATTACAAGTTCCATGCTACTTTCTGTCCTGCCTAGTGTCAGTTTATTGTAATTCCCCCACCTCTTCCTAGAGCTAATTGAAATGCGTATGGCTGCGAACAAACCCAATGGTACCTTTTACCCAATTGAAAACCGATAAGAAAAAAAAGGTGAGTCGCTAGTTAGTTAAGGATAATTATGGAAAAAGAAACATTTTATTGCAGGTTGGGCTTTAATTCGGTCCGTATTTTTAATGTTTGTAGGGCCGGTATATAAATAATTGTGTTCTTATGGTTGAATCTCAAATCCTTTTAATTAAATAAAAATTTAAGATGATTTTTTATTAAAAAAAAAGTTGCCCCAACCCTTGTTCATTAAAACTCCCTAGTTTTTTAAATTCCACTTGGTTCGCTCTGTTTGTGACTCGAAAAATTCACAACAAGAATCCCAATTCCACGCCAATTCCAAATTCCAAATCCAATTCCACGTCCCGTCTTCCCTAAACCTCTCACCAATGTACTCATCCAAGTCCGGCCGAGTTGGCGGCGGCGGCGGCTCAGGCCGCGGACCCGGAGCCGGCAAGCTTGGCCGACCCTCCTTCCCTCCACCCCACCGCTCCTCCGCCCACACCACCAGCCGCCTCTCCCTCGGCGGCGGCTCCAATCCGAGAGGCCGCAACTCAGGCCCCCCCACGGCATCAGCCGCCGCCCCGCCGGCCGTGGAAGAGCAGTTCAGTTTAGTCCCCGGCCGCAACCCACTTGCTTTCTCCGTGATCATTCGTATGGCGCCGGACTTGGTCGAAGAAATCAAGCGCGTCGAGGACCAAGGTGGGGCGCCCCGCATCAAGTTTGGTCCGTTGCCTAATAACCCAATGGGCAATGTGAGTTTCTTGTATTTGAACTGGGAATTGCTTAAATTTTGCTAATTTTGTTGGGTTTTGGATTTCATATTGTTTGTAGTTTGCTTGTGTGTGTCTCTGGGTTGTGTTTCAATTGTTCATTGCTCAAGTTTTTCAGTATCGTGTCAGTTTTTTTAAATCTTGTTGCTTTATGAAGTTTCATAGAGAAGAAATTTTGGGCATTGCTTAATTTCTTCAATTTTTCATTAGGTTCTGTACATTCTGGTTTGTGGGAATACTATTCATTTTTTTTCATGAGCTTATACTTGGTTTGTGTTCTTCTTAGTTAGTCTTCAATTGGGTTTTGCATAAATCAGTTTTATACTTTTTCGTTTGGGTGTATTGTGGTTTTTTTTTTTTACTTTGAAGTTATTCTTATATTTATTTCTTGGGAACTTTGAGTTCTCTTGTGGAAGTTGTACATTCGGGTTGGCATTGCTTATATAGGTGAAATGTTGTTCCTTTTTGGGGTTATTTGTTACTCCTATGCAGAATTATTACTTTGAAGTTATTCTTTTGGCAAGGTTGATGTTTTGCAGAGTTTTTGCTTTAGTTTTGTCATGGCCACATAACAAAATTTGAATGCTTTTAATTCTCTCCATTGGAATATGGAAATTTTGTTAATACTTGTTAATCTAGATGTGGCAATTAATCTTAATGTTTTTATTGCTTTGAATGGTTCAATATTGCTTCAGGTTATTGATCTGGGTGGGAAGGAATTTACATTTACATGGGACAAGGAATTGGGTGACCTCTGTGACATTTATGAAGAGCGTGAAAGTGGTGAAGGCGGAAATCGTTTGCTAGTTGAATCAGGATGTGCATGGCGCAAAATTAATGTGCAGCGTATCTTAGATGAGTCAACCAAGAACCGTGTTAAACAGTGGTCAGAGGAAGCTGAGCGCAAGAATAAATCCCGCAAGTATGTAGTCTGATTGTTACTGTGGAGTTCCTTCGCTTTTTGATTATTCAGTAGTTTTATGCATTTTCATTCTTCAGTTTCTTTTACTTTGGCACTATTAATTTTTTTTAACTGCATCTGCTTTGGTTGCTTCTAGAGGTTGCAATATAGAACACTATTTTTGGTGGTACTTAGGTGCTAATACTATCATTATAACTGCCTTTAACATCCAAAATTCCTCTACACCCATTCCAAATGATAGAACAACTTGTTTTTCATCCATTTCAGAAGATTTTTCCTAGCACATCTTCAAAATCTATCTTCAATTGCCATCATTCTTGTGTAGTTCTGGTTACCAATTAGTTGCGTTTTTTTCTAGAAGTAATTTGATGATTTTAGTTTCATGACTAGTTTTAAGACTTATTTTAGTACAATTATCAGAAGGTTGAAGTCTTTTGTTTTGCAACCGTCAACTGTGTTTTGCCTTTGAGTTGTTCCGACAGGTGTCTTATCCCTTTAATTTGTTTTTGTTTCTGAAAACAGAGCCATTGTGCTAGAACAATGTAAAGCTCCAACAAATCAGTTAAAGCAATATGATACTACAGCAGGTAAGGTTTTCAATCTGAGTTTCATATATTTCCATATTTTTTAATAAACTACAGTCATTTTCTGATTTTAGTAGAAGTTAATAGTTTAGTGCAAAGTAGGAAAACACTGAGCTTGAGATGTGCAGTTAATGTAAATTTTTCCGCTATAGTCTACATTGCCTTATAAGCAAATCAGATTGAACTAGCTAGAAATGCAGTGTCATTAGGACTGATAAATTTTTAGCCCCAGTCTAAATTGAAGAACATTCATAAAAATGTTATATATGTTAATGAAAAATTTTTAAATTTTTTTTCTACTGGTTGTTGTTGGTTTTGTTTAAATGACTGCTGATCATGTATGTTCAGTTAACTATTATTTATTGGTTTTAATTTGGGAACAGTTATTTGCACTCCAAAAATCTCATTTTGCACTCCTCTCAAGTGTGTTTTTCTTTCTAAATATAGAAAGTTTGGAGTGCAAAATGAGAATTTTGGAGTGTCAATAACAATTCCCTTTCATTTTTATGGAAAGATTACAATTGAAGCCACTGAACTACATAACTGATGCATCTGATACCTCACTTATTTCCAGCTAATCAACCATGGAGGAATTTCAAACATAAAATAGAGCCTCCATTTAAGAAGCAGAAAGTTGAACTGCCTCAAGGTGAGTGGAGCCTTGTAGAAGCTTTCGTTTTCTAACCCTTTTTTTTTTCTGTTGGGGTGGTGGTTGGCTGTTTCTTGTGCCTTCATGCACATGATGCTGTGATTCTCTAATGCCATACCTCTACTACCTAAATGATCCACCATTTACACTTATCTTGTGCCACTGTCCGTACAAGAAAAACTATTTCGTCCGAACACCCTAATTCAATCTTCTAGGATTCCTCTTCTACTTCCCCAATTAGCTCATCATAATAAACTTTCGCCGAAAATTTCTCTTACAACTGTCCCTTATATTGAACCTTGTCTCTATCTCCGGCCAAAGTAAACCTTGTAACTATCCCTCTTCCCTCCTTTTCACTATTTTATATTCTTCCAGGCTTACAGCTGTAAAATTGTTTTATTTGAGTTTAAATTTTCATTGAAGAAGTCTATTATTTGAATTTTCAGCTCCCCCTAAAACTACATTTAAAACTGGAACGTCATCAGCAACTACTGCAAAGGGCAGGTACTCATCGTCACCTCTTCCAACTCTACCTGAGCAATCTGGGGCTCTATCATCTCCATTAAAAACTGGAAATAGTTTGAAGAGTCATGCAAGTGCAGAAGATGTTATACCCTTTCAAGTGACTAGAAAAGATAAGCCTGCTCCGAGCTCTGATAAAGAAATCCCAATCAGGAACAGTACTGCACCACGACAAACAGTGGGCAAAGACAATAGTGGAGCTAACCCTACAGATTTGCAGAGTATGTTGATTGTTTTGCTCACGGAGAATTCCAAGGGGATGAGAATAAAGGTATGCTCTAAAAAAAATGACATTTAATGTATTTGGTATTGGCCATATCTCTACTTTTAAATCGTCCAATCTTATAAGGTTGTTTTATCTTGATTTATTTTAGACATAATATACTCCAAGTGGACAAATGCCACTGTAAATGATATATTCCCAAAAAGGACATATGACTCATCCCACCACTTCACACAAGATGAGTGGATGAGAATTCTAGCCTGCCTGATGCAGGATATCGATGGGAACCCCCTGGGCTTTGCCACAAAAGCTGCACATACATTACATATTTTTTATGTAGTTGCTGTTCTTAAGTACCTAAAACCCGACTTTATCTCAATAAATGGAAAATAAGTTTTCCCTAAACAGTTCTGAAACCATCAGATATCCATTTCATAAATTTGACTATGATGCCTGCACTGCATGTTTATTTCATTTCAAGCTATAACTAAAACAGTTTTATTCTTATGACAAACAATTATTTCTCAACCTGTTTGAACAAAACCACTTTAAAACCTTTTTTCAGAAGAAAAAAAACCAATACACATCTTCAAACAGATTTCTCAACACTTTGAATCACATGCTTTGTAAATAAAATCTATTGAAGAATATTGTTTCAAATATCTATTGAAGAATATCCTTTAGAAAACATGCTTCCAACTAGATTCTTTGCCATGCATGAACTATTGTTTTCATGCATAATAATAGATAATCATATCATGAAACTACTATCCAAGAACGAGTATGAGTTCCCATACTTTATTCCAAACACATTTTTATCAAAGCACGTGGTAGCTATTTTCCTATTTCCAACTGCACAGCCAAATGTTAGTTTCGTACTGCATTTGTTACTGTTTTAGCAGGGGGTACTAAAATCTGATACACTTTTATATTGTCTGATTGTGTTACAGATATTTGTAAAAGGCAAAATGATAGACTAAGTATTGAATTTAAAGGGATCCTTTGAGTGGAGCATAAGAATGAATGCCAGTTGTTGGGGAGGGTGTAAGAATGCAGATAAGAGAGACAGAATTTAAAACTTTTTTCTCCAAGCAAAATTATGTTAAATAGAAATGGGAAGGGAAACAATCAAATGACTTTGGACATTGTGATAGTTCATCTGGAATTCTACAGTATCCAACTGTGTTATAAATTCAGACAATGTCTTGTTTTCTTCTCCTGCTACTTATCTATCTCAATCTTGCTTTTTTAATAGGATTTAGAGAAAGCTATTGCAGATTCATATCCAAACTCTATAAAGAAAATTGAGCCTATTATTAAGAAGGTAAGTGACGAAAATCCTTGATGCTATTATTTGAATATCATTAAGTGATATTATATCTTCTCATTCAATTTTGACATCAGATTGCTAATTATCAAGCTCCAGGGAGATATGTTTTGAAATCAGGAGTGGAGTTAGAAAGCTCAAAGAAACCTTTGTCTGAAAGTGGAAGGTAATCTAATTCTTTTCCCTAAGGCTTAGTCTGCATGATCAAGTCAATTAGTGGCAAACTTGTTTTCCTGTTATTCTTTGTCTTTTAACTTGTACCGATATTGGTCAAGAAATAGATGACTTGACACTACAATAAACCAAAATATCTAAGAAATATAGAAGGAATGAATGTATTCCTGATACACAATAGTATTAAAGTTAATTTGTAGAAATATAGGAGGAAAATGGGCATAGTTTATGCTGTTCATATTCCCTTCGAGCTTGCATAGTATTATTAGAGATGCTCTACGAGTTATCTCCATGAATTGTCACACAGTTTATTTATATCTTGCTTGCATGCTAACTCCAATCATTCAGATTTGAATATCTAAGTTTTATGAATCTGAGTGGTTTTCAATTCTTAATTCGAAAATTGTAGTTAAGGGTTTTGAATTTAATATCCTTATGCGATCTCTTTTTTCCTATTTAAGGATTTTTAGTGCCTTCCAAGTTTTGTACAATTTGTTCGACACATTCTTATCCCAAACTACTTTACCAAGTATCCTTTAGAATATCTCAAAAGTACATTCTTTTTTATTTACTTTGATGGCTTAACCTTTTAACAATAAATATCCGCAGACTGTGGTTTTTCTTTATAGTCTATTGTGGTTGTACTTGTATCTTCTTTTGTAAAAACTGATTATAGTCTATTGCGATCTCTTTTTTCCTATTTAAGGATTTTTAGTGCCTTCCAAGTTTTGTACAATTTGTTCGACACATTCTTATCCCAAACTACTTTACCAAGTATCCTTTAGAATATCTCAAAAGTACATTCTTTTTTATTTACTTTGATGGCTTAACCTTTTAACAATAAATATCCGCAGACTATGGCTTTTCTTTATAGTCTATTGTGGTTGTACTTGTATCTTCTTTTGTAAAAACTGATTATCAGTGGATCAAGCAAGGATTCCCTACCATAGATATTGATGCAAGTTACATCACGGTGTATTATATAATCATCACTCTTGTGGAATTATATATCGTTCTCTATCTGTCATAATGTGCATTTGTTTATTTTCAGTTCTCCCGAGGAGAAACTTCACCAGGAACCTGCTCCTGATGGTAATCGTGATCAAATGCCTGTTCAAGCACCACACTTTGAGGAGAAAGTTTCTCCTAATGGGTTGGAGGAGCAGGTTCACGAACAATTGAATGCTACAGTTGGTCAGGATTCAAGTGTATTGATTAAAATTGATAACCAACAGCATTCCCTTGATTTGTTTGGTGAAAAAAGGGGCTCCGACAATAATGAAGCGCTAGTAGGAAGCTCTAGCGATACTGGGAGTGACAGTGACAGTGATAGTGACACTAGCGATACCGGAAGTGACAGTGGCAGTCATAGCAGAAGCAAAAGTAAAAGTCCAGCACGAAATGGGAGTGGGAGTAGTAGTGATAGTGAAAGTGATGCATCTTCTAATAGCAAGGAAGGTTTTGATGAGGATGTGGATATTATGGCAAGTGACGATGACAAAGAACTGAAGCATCAATTGCAAGACTCTGAACCAGGGTTTTCTACTTTGCCCGTCCCATGGAGAACTCTTGATGGCAAAGCTGTGCAGAGTGGGAATGATGAGAAGCAAGATGATCATGAAGTTGACGCAGTTGAGATTGAAAAACAGTTGCTTGATGCCGATCAGGTTACTGAATTGGCTCCAGTTAGTAACTCTAATCATAATAAAAGTGAACCTCGAGAAGAAACAAAACCCTTTTCACCTGAGCATGGTGAGCTGCAAGACCACCAAAGTTTGGTAGATCCTTTGTATGGAGGGGAGAGTACAGCCAAGGATGACTTTAGGTATGAGCAGTCTGACAGCTCTGAGAGGATATCTAAAGGTACATCCAAAATGGCATCTGGGATAAAGCACTCTGATGAGAAATCTGAACGCAAAAATAGATTAAAAACAGACGTATCACAGCAACCTTCTCACAGTTTGTCTCCTGATAGACTTTTTGAAGGCTCTCATAAGGACCCTGTCTCTCAAACGATTAGTAGAGATGATAGGGATGGGAATATTGAATCTGGATCCCTAAAGGCTTGCAACCAAGCATTTTCTGGCAGATATACTTCAGAGTTTAAACAATCAAGTCGGAAGTCTTTTGATCATAATTTACAGACAAAAGTTCCTGATTCAGCAGAAAGACCAGATAGATATGCTGATAACTTAGGGCATGGCGGGAAGTACTCTGAAAAGAGCTCTCAAATGCATGAAGGTTTCCTCCTGCAAAAAGATAAACTTCATAGAGATACTCAAAATGAGGATGGTTATGCTAATGAGAGAAAGGTTCCAAGAAATTCGAAGGAAGGTGGTACCCGAGGCAAACAGTCAGTGCCCTTGGATCCTCATTACCAGAAAGACGGTGATGTGGCTGGAAAGATGAAGGGGAATGCACAAGTTTCCAGCCTGTTACTGGGGAGTTCACCAAAGGATAACAGCAGAAATGGTGCAGACACATCCCCTGTTGTTCATGGCAGAGGCAGTAAACTCCAAAGAGAGTTTCAGACTTGGAGTTGGGCGAACTTCGTGAGCCCTTGCTTGAGGAAACGACAGTTAAGAAGCAATTTGAGAGGAAAAGTTCTTTTAAGCAGTCAGATAACAAAACAAGCACTTCAGAGAACAGGGTTTCTGAATTCAGTAAAGTGCAACCTGCAGGAAAGGCAAATTTTGATTTGGGAAGGCCATCCCCTCCAGATAAGCTTCCAAGTAATCAGGAAGGCTTGAATAAAAAGAGGAACTATGAAGATCGCATTGAGGATTTAACAAGGTCGCAACAGAGAGCTGTGCAGTCTCAGTCGCAACACCCATCACGAGTAGATCATCCTGATGTGGGGCGTTCGTTTAGCAAAACAGTGGATCTTACTAGTAAATCTCGACAGAATGAAGCTGGAGGCAGACAAGCAATTGGTGTGGCTGGACATGGAGAAAGCAATAAGAAAGCAACCTCAAGTGCTCCTCAGCAGCTTGACTCAAAGCGAAGGCTAGTTTCCCACCCCATACAAGAAAGTAAAAGAGATGCATTCAATATAATGGTGGATTCAACTGATGTACCAAAGAAATCAATGGTGGCAGAGGGCATTGACAGTGATAGAAAAAAGAGGGATTCTTCTTCAGATGAGAATAGTTGTTCTTATTCTAAGTATGAGAAAAATAAGCCCGAGTTCAAGGGACCAATAAAAGATTTCTCTCAGTAAGTGAACATATTAAAGCTTTTACAATAGTGAAAACCATCGAACCAGGTTTTGGGTGTGTTGTATTTAATCCTGGTTTTTGACATCTGATTTACTTTATACATTTTTCCTTTTCTTATCTTAGGTACAAAGAGTATGTGCAAGAATATCGTGATAAGTATGATAGCTATTGCTCGTTGAACAAGACCCTAGAGAGTTACAGGTCATTTGAAGATTCCTTTCACTTCTTTTAAGGCAATATTTTTTTATTTTTATTTTAGTACTTGTTTGATTAATTGCTTTCTATTTTTTTTATCCAAAATTGTGTCAAAACAATTTATTCATGCTCAATGTAGAAATGAGTTTGAAAAGCTAGGAAAGGACCTTGATTATGCTACTAAAGGCACAGAGAAATATGAAAACATCCTGAGGCAGCTGAAGGATTCATATCGTCAATGTGGAACGGTATGCTCTGTTCTTGATTTTCTATGAAGTGTGTAGATGATTGAACTGTGAAGTAATTCAGCAAGACATTCTCACTGTTTTCTTGGTCAGATGCATTTTGATTATGTATCAGTTGTACATACTTCTGTTTTCATGATTCCCTTATAACTTAACAAATCAATTGTTGTTTGCTACCTAGCCATGGTGGATAGGGTTTGCCCTGTGGGCTTAGGGCCAAACTTAGCCGCCACCCTCCACAAGGACCACAACGAATCACTTTAATGCACTGCTTAGTATGATAGACTTATTGGCTTCCGATTTGGCTTGATAGATATAACAGTGAAAATTTAATAGATGAACGCACCTTTTAACTTCATCCGCATGGCATATGTGAATTCCAGGGGTTTGCTGATGTTGAAGATGCTTAATGAGGCTGAGCCAATAAGATCATATTATAAATATACACTTGCATATGTCTTGGTGGAGTCCAATTATTTACACGTGCTTGCTAACATGTAGAAACTTTAAATTCGTTCTTGAATTTGTAGACGTTTTGAAGTTCGGGTACCCAGCTCACCAGATAAGCTCAGTAGTGCATGTGTTTGGATTAATCCTGTATTTGATGAATAAGGAAAAATTTGAGACAAATACTATGATCATATATGAATAGCTAACATCGTGTTGCTAGTGATGTGGTGTTGGTAACTATTATTTTAAACAGAAAATTTAGGTGCTTAAATTATGTGTATTTCTGTTTTGTTTTTCTGGAGTATTTACAATACATAAAGTGTAAAGTGCTTCAGAATCATTCTTGATTTTGTTACCGATAACTTTAAACTTAACTCTTACGGTTTAATTTTTATTTGTCAAATAACTAATATGATGTTGAGCTTTTTGGTTTGACTCAAGTAATATTGTTGCTTGCAGAGACATAAGAGGCTGAAAAGAATATTTATGGTACTTCATGAAGAATTGAAGGTGATTCATTCTATCCTCGTCAACCACCATCTTTGAATTAATGCCGTTATGTGTTGGAGTTAGTCATAGGAATTATCTACTTTGCAATTATCATTTGAGTTTTAAATTTTTTGTAGTGAGTGTTGTGAATATTTTCGCGTCTTTCTGCAGCACCTTAAGCAAAGGATTAAGGACTTTGCAGTCTCATACATGGACTGAAAGAGGGAATCTCATCCTCGTCATTCACTATAATTGAAACCTCTTCCTTCAGGCCCGAGGGTGTGACTAGGAAGTTATATGTTGAAAACAGCACAACAGAGTCCTCTCTCTCTGAAGATGAACGCTCATGTCACACAATGAGAGAGCATCCGCAGTTTTGCCGTGCCCGCCCAGTTTACCCGTAAATAGCATTTAACTCGTATGTACATTAGTTTTGTATTCAGGTCAGGCCTTTTGTTCTTGTTTTGCCTGACCAGTTCAGCCTATCCAGTTTATTCGGGCTTCTTGACATTGTGCTCTTTGTGCATATAGTTGTATATCATAACACAGATGGTAGGAAGAACTCAAAGAGTTGATCAAATAAGACTAAATCATTGATACCATTCATGCAGATATTGCCTTCTGTGAAACTCACCTTTTGTGGAGGGTGAGATTCAAATTCTGTTATTCATTGAGATTGGCTCCCTTGGCTATATATAGCGGAGGGAGTTCTGAATCTGGGACGCACGGGTAGATACTCAACGTCTTATCCATCAAGATATTGGATCACGCGCAAATGGTTTTTTTTTTTCTTCCGTAATTTATTTTAGCTTTTCATACAATGATTTTGTCACACTGTTTTTCTCCTCCTACACTCTTGTTTATTTATGTTCTTTAGTGATTTATTCAAGGGAAAAAAACTTTATAAAAAGATGTGTAGGGAGAAAAAAGAGACGTGAAAACCACTTTCCGAAGATTAATGATGTTAATATCGGTTTTTAAACGCTACACTTTTGTATTCACTATTTACCAACCCACTAGTTGTACTTCTTTTTTATCCAACGATATTTTACTCTGGCAGCGTATGATAAAGCCCCATAATGTGAGTTGCACCCTTCCTTACTTTGTTAGCTCCACATAAAGAGTTGCATTAAAGTTTGCAACTTTTTACATTTTTGTAATACGATATTTTAAACTACTCTAATTCACTGAAGGGTATTAGAAGTTGAATATAAGAAGGTGCGGTGTGAATATTGCCTTGACCAACTAGTCCGGTCCTATTTTTTTCACATTAAGAAAGCTAACCCAATTGAGAATTCAAGGTAACCCATTTCACCTTAAAGAGCAAAGCTTTTTTGAACATAGCATATCCATACAAACTTTTCTTAGGCCTTTTTCAATCACATTAAGGCCCCGTTTGTGATTGAGGTGATTTTAAAAAAAACCACTGTGAAAAAAAGCTGAGGGTCATTTTTGTGTTTGGTAAACTGAAAAAAAAGGGCTTATTTTGGAAGCTGCTGTGAGAATAAGCTGAAAATCAAAGGAAAAGCTGAAGCTGCTATTTGCTACTTTGAAAAAAAGCCAGTTTTTTCAAAGCACACGGAGCTACAGTGCTCCTTTAATGAAAAGACACACTATCATCCTGCTTTTTTTTTCCCAAAAGCACTTTCACAAAAAATTTTACCAAACACTCTACTGGCTTTATTTCACAGCCGCTTATTCTCACAGCAGCTTTTTTTCAAAGCACAGCAATACCAAACCAGCCCTAAGAATGCTACTCAAAATTTCACTCCAACATGACTTTATATGATTTTTCATCTACCTTGGCTGAACTGGTGCTTTGTTGAGCCTTATAGAGCTCTTACCAGAAAGTTTATTCACGACAAGAATTTAACGCTTTTTGACATCATTTTGTGACTATACACAATTCAACTTTTGTTTGGGCTGAATATATTAACTAGTTTTGTTTGTAAAGGGTTATGTTTTATTTTCTTTGCTACTTTTTTTCTTTGATTTATTAAGTTGTTTTGGTTGTCCTAACAAAGAATAGAAAAATAAAAGAAGAAATTATTTAGTGGAGCTTCTTCCACATAAAAACATAAAGTTAACATATTTGCAGTTTCCAGAGACATAAACATTATTGCTCTTTGAGAATAATAAATATGTGAAATTCACCTCCGATGTATAATTAACAGTCTCCCCGCACCCAAAAATATAAATAGGGAAGATTTTACGGTACCTTATTAAAAAAAAAAGAAAAAGGTATCGGTGGTATTTAATTTAATAAAAATTACATTTTAAAGTCACATAATTATGATAAGGTTCGAGTTAATAATAAGAGTGACGTGATTATTTCAATAGCAAGGTTAATAGCCACATTGTGTACGTTGTGTTATATTATCAAGGTAGGTGTTAAATTATCTATGTTTAGTATTACCCCCAATGAACGTACTGTTAAAATAGAGACGAACTTTATGAACTTACATATCATCGTAAACATACGATGATCCTGAGTCAGACGTACAATAAGCCTAGTATAGGCATAGGCCCAATTCCAATCACTCATCTTAAACTAAGTTTAACATCTTATTTTATAAATAAAAAAAATCAATAACTCTTAAAATCAAAATATAAAGTCTGATTTAGTTTTATCAAAAAATATTCTCTCACGTTGTCCAAGCAAAGAATAATAAACTTTGAGTTTTTCCTCCTTTCCTGTTTTTTTCTTTGAACAAATATGATATATTATCTATACTAAGGGGTGGGGGAGTAGGCTAAACTTTACAATGGAGTAGCAATAATATTGTTCAAATTTGTCTTTGGAAAGAATCGATCTTAATACCTATCGCTTACAAGTGAAAAGAATACCACTATACCATAGTACTATGATGCCCATAAGGCACATTAGGCACATACAGCTGAACATGTTGGTTATGAGGCCTCTGTGCCCCATGAAGCACATGACCCTGAATTGGTGACTCACTGCCTGGTGGAAGAGAGCATCATCACATTGTTCACCTTCATCCTCATTAGCATTGGCATTCACTTTTTCCCCTTGTTTTTCTTCTTATTACCCCCATTGCCACTACCACCACTAGCTTTAGCTGGTGCACCACCACCTTCATTGGATTTGTCCATATTACCACCGTCCACCTTCTTACTAGTGCTACCACCTTCGTTATTGTTCTTCTTAGCAAAGTCCTAAACTTAAACAACTTCAACTTTAACTGTCTTTTTCTCATTATCACCACTAGCAACACCAACACCATGGTTGCTTTCCTCAGAGCTTTCATCCTATCTTTAATTTTTTTTATTAATTACTCTCTATATTGACTTGATATTGGAATGCTAATTTAAACATGAAAAAAAGCATTTAGCACCTCAAAAAATCTAATTTGCTCACAATTCCAAGCATATATTCTACTATCTTATAAATATTGTTTTTTAACATTTATGTGAGGCCCCTCCTCACGTAAAATCTTTACTCCACCACTGACAAAGTTTAAAGTAGGGTTGGGCAATTAAGAAAAAAAAACCAACTAAACCTACCAAACCGCACCGACGGTTTGTTTGTTTTTTGTTTTGTTTTGTTTTGTTTTTTTTTTTCCGGTGAGTAAACTTGAACCGCACCGACTAAGGTTGGTTTGACGAGTGGTTTCTATATTCTTGGACATCGGTTAACCGAACCGACCCGCGTGTTTGCTTTTATTTGTTTTAATCATAATAGATATACCATGTACCCACCACAGCAAAACAAAACGTGGTAGTTTTGCTAACTTTTGTGCAAAGCTTATGCTTTTGTGTTTACATAATTATTACATGGGTAGATTGTTGGAGTGTAGGAAGTGCTGGGAAAGTTATTTGAGGCTTGGAAGTATGGAACTTTTGGAACTTTTTGATCTTTTAGAAGTTTTGGGACTTCAATTCTTAATTATTTATATGTAATGCTTTCTCCAGTAGAACTTTTGAACTTTAAGAATGCCTTAATGTCATATTTAAGTATCTATATGTAATGCCTTCTCCAATAGATCTTTTGGACTTTGGAACTTTTGGATTGTAATATTTTGAAAAATTGGAGCTTTGATGAATTTCTTTTTTGTAACTTTAAGAATGTTTGAATGTTAAACTTTGAATTTACCTAGTCTTCACACAAACCGAAAACAGACTCAAACCAACTTGCCATTATCGGTTAATCGACATGATCGGTTTTAGACCTGGCTTGATCGGTTTCGATTTGCAATTTTGGCTCCATCGACTAGGTCGGTTTGGTTTCGATTTTGGCCCAAAACCGACCCAACCCAACCTGCACCCACCCTTAGTTTGAAGGATAAATTAGGTTCTCATTTTTTTTTTCTTCTTCTCATTAATTGAAACCTTATTCCTTTTGCATTTTTTATCATGGTCCCTTGACTTTTCTCCATAACACTATTTAGATATTAAATTATTTACATGTCATTATATTGTCAATTTTAAAAATAAAAAACTTATTAATCATTTTAAAAAATATATTTTTAGTATTTTTTTTTCCATTTATAAAATTAAAAAAATATGTATTTATTTATAAATATTAATATATTTTTTAATTTATACCAATATGCTTTTTAGTTTTGGTTTGTACACATAATTTTGAATTTTAATATGTACCCATAAATTTTTAATTTTAATATGTATCCATATTTTTTTTTATGAATGTACCCATGCTGATTATATGTATTTGTTTTTTGTTTAAAATATATCAATAGTTATTTCTTAAACTATATTAATAATTACGTGGGCACAGTAAGTTTTTGCTAGAATTATGTGAAGAACAATATTACTCTATTATTTATTTTTAAAGTTATTGTTATAGTGTTAAAATATTATTTGAATTTGTTTAAATTTCATAATTTGTGGATATTGAATGCATAAATGACACATCCCGACCGAGATTGAGGCATGCTAGCCGTCACGTGAGGGTGACGTAGCCATATGCCTTGTGCAGAAGCATTAACAATAATGGAGAATACCAATAAATAAGAATCAACTCAAAAGAGTACTAGCTAAGATAAGTGTTAGGGTAAGAGTGAAAATACAATCAGAGCGTAAGTAGCCTAAGTTCAGTCCATAAAACAAATATTAAACAAACGACACCCAAAGATTTCATACATTGTGATAGTCTATCAGAACTTCCGTTCAATCCTCGTGAACCACCAACGAACAAGCTTACTTAAAACCTGGAGGGGCGCAAAATAGAAAGTGTGAGTGGGCAAAAACAAAGCTTTTCAAAACCATTTCATTTATCAAATGCTCTAACCCTTCATCGTAAAACATGTATAATTTTCCCAGAAATGTAATAAAAAAAAAATATATATATATATATATATATATATATATATATATTTCAAATCATGCTTCACATATCCATATTCATAAGTATACCATGCCAAATATATAACAGAATGAGTAACTCAGGTGAAAATAAGTTCATGGAAAACGTCATATTAGCCGAAACCCCTGCAGAGGTCTGTACATCTTAATTCATAGCTCATTGAACAAATCTAGCCGGAGTCACCGAAGGTGACCTGTACGGCACTACATCTGCACACGAGTCGGAACCATCTGTAGTAGTCTGTACTACAAGACTGAGTGTAATA